TTGGGTTGCCGGTGGAGGCATGACAGTCTGACAGTGCCCACTAGCGGTCTAACCTTGGCTGGCACTGGTGTTGTCTGGCCTGGCACTGCTGTCTGGCTCCTTTGTGGCATGATTGCAGCCTTGGGCCAGCCCAGGTGGGGTGCACAATCAAACCACGGCAAGGGCTGATCTGACCATGGCTAGTGACCAGCTAAGTATGAGCGGGGATGAAGTTCAAACTGGACACATTACCGTCCAATGAGCACAGGAGTTGGCCCACCAGAGTGTGGGTCCAGAGAGCATTGTGAGGAGCTTGGGGCCATCGGAGTAGTCTGTTGTTTGCACCTGAGTTGGCATCGGTGTGCGCAAACAATCATGTAGTCAACCATTGGGAGAGCCATTGGCGTTGGTGGTTTGACTGCCAGGTCCCGTGATCTGACTGCAAGTGGACCAGGGGTGCCATTTTGACCATCTGAAGAGTCTCAGTAGACATTGGAGATGTTGCTAGGTGTCCGTGGTCTAACCGCTAGGTCAATAGAGCGCGGGCCAATGCCCTCCAATGGCTAGTTGGCTTGCCCCCTCAATGAATAGTGGGGTGGCCGGCCATGGGAGGTCTCTTGGCACTTTGGGTTGCATATACACATGAAGAGAGGCTTGTTTATTCGTCCCCTCTCATGAGAATGCATGTTAGCATTATTTGGAGAGCGGTTGAGTGATTCTAGTGTGGTGCATTAAGAGATTGCATTGAGTGGCACTAGGTGGTTGTGTTGCAAGCCAGTGATGCTTGTTACTCTTGGAGGTTGCCACCTCCTAGACGACTTGGTGATTGTGACACGGTTGAAACCGACAAGGAGATTGTGTAGTGCTTTGGAGGAGACTTGTTCGGGGCTCATGTGCTCGTCCTTGTCGGAGAAGGCGAAGAGCAACACTCTAGTAGAAGCAAGGTGTGGAGAGTGTCAAGTTGATTGGCCAGGTCAAGTCTAGTGCTCATGTTGGAGCCTACCTTGAGAGGTAGTCTGAGCTTGCATGCTTGGGAGCTAGCGAGAGGACCAACAATCTTTCAACTCGCCTTGATAGGGAGTAGGTGATTGGCAAGCCACCGTACCTCAGGAGAAAAATCACCATGCCAACTTATGTCTCTCGTTGTTTTGCGTCACCCAAACACTAGCTATTTACTTGTTATATATCTTGCTAGTGTTGTTTCTCTTATGCTAGTTTTACTAGTGTAGCTTATAATTCTTGTTTACCTTTGCTCACTAGTTTGTGTAGGAGCTCCCTTGTGCTAGCTTGTGCTCTACTTGGTTTAGTTGATTTGATTGACTTTGCAACCTAGACTTGTGTAGGTGAGCTCCTACTGGCTCGGCACCCTAGTTGATCACTTGCTTAGTCTCTTTTAAGGGTACATGTGAATTTAGTTAGAGGGGTATAGCTATAGCTAGACAATTAGTTTAATTCCACATTTGATTCGGCTAGCCATTAAGTTTTAGAAATGACTATTCAAACCCCTCTAGTCGGTCATTTTGACCTTACAGTCAAAAATTTGTGGCATTTTTGAGTGACCATTTCCAAGGCTTCTAGTTTTTTCAGCATGTTTGAGAATATTTTCTAGAAACACAGCCATAGGTCACAACCAGAATTTTAGACATTTTCTAGTGGGGTGAGCTTCTCCTAGTGTTTTAGCATTCAAAATTTAGTGTAAATTTTTCCTACTAAATGCCTCCTAGTAAGATTTCCTTGTGCTATGACTAGTGGTAGTGTTTTATTACTACTTAAAAACACTAGGAGAAGTCCACCATTTTGGTAGGGGGTAGTTTTGGGATTCCCCGCGCTCCAGGGTCAATTTTCTCGTTTCTGCCATGTTTTGTTAGCCATAATCACTAATTTTAGGTGTTCTCGAGGGTCTGGGAATGACCGCATATTTCAAGCCTGTTTTGGCTCTGAGAAAACAAGTTTTTTTTGGATATCTACGCCCGTTGACCTCTTGAAGGCCTAGGTCACTAATTTCTCTTGTTCCGAGAGGCTGATCCATGGCTTTTGGTCGTTTTAGCACGACCAGTCTACCTTCTTTGTGCTTTGTTGCCTCAAGAAGTTTTGAGACATCCGGTTGTCTGTGGTTGGTTTTCATTTTCTTTCCCACATTTCGTGAGTTATAGCTCACAGATTTCAGACGTTCTCGGGGCCCCGAGAATGGCCGAGCACCAGACATTTTGGATGCACTATTCAGGCAGCCAATATGCCCATAGCTGATAAATCATTTTTCTTGCCAATTTTGGCTCCCAAATAACGAGTTCTTTGGGATTCTCGCCGACCGCTCCAAGACCCGTGGTCATGAATTCGTGGCAATTCCGGGTAGCTATTTCCAAGGATTCTGGTTGTTTTGGTAGTTGGCACGTTCGACACCTATAGCCTTGCATAGTTTTGTGGTGTCTATGCTCCGGGGTCGATTTTCTCGTTTTTGCCATGTATCGTGAGCTATAGCTCATGAATTTTGGGCGTTCTTGAGGGTTTGGGAATGACTGGATGCCCCATATGCACCATTTACACAACCAAGATGTCCTGATGCTAATAGAACATATTTGAAGCCTGTTCCAGCTACTTAACGAGTTTTTTGTGTCTCCTATGTCCGTCGGCCTCTTGAAGACCCGGGTTCATTAATTTCTCATGTTCATGACAAGTTGATTCCATGGCTTTTGGTCATTCCAGTATGTCCAGTCTCGCTCTCTCTATACACTTTGCAGCCTTGGGTAGTTTTGAGCATCGAGCTCTGCATGGCCAATTTTCATGTTTTCCCCACAGCTCACGGATTTAAGGTGTTTTCGAAGGTCTAGGAACAGTTGAGCGCCATAAATTTTGGAGCCACTGTTCAAACAACCAAGACGGCCAATAGCTTAGAACATTTTTCTTGCTAGTTTTGGCTCCCAAATAACAATTTCTTGGGATGCTTACACCCGCCGGCCGCTCAAAAAAACCTATGCCACCAATCTGTGGAGATTCCGAGCGACAATTTCCAGGGCTCATGGTGGTTTTGGCACGATCGACAAGGTATTTTAGGCATCCAGTCTCGGGTAGTTTTGCGATGTCGTGCGCTTTGGGGTCATTTTTCTCATTCCTGCCTTGTTTTATAACCTATAGCTCACGGTTTTTGTGCGTTCTCGGGGGTGTAGGAATGGATGGATGCCATATGTGTGTATGCACCATTTACACAACCAAGATTCCTAAGGTTGATAGAACATATTTCAAGCTTGTTTCGGCTCCTAGATAACAAGTTTTTTCGGGGATTTTCAACGCCCATCAGCCTCTCGAAGACACATGGTAACTAATTTCTCCTATTCCTGTGAGGCTGATTCCATGGCTTTTGGTCATTCTAGAACGACTAGTCTACCATTCTATGCACTTTGTGGTTTCGGGTAGTTCTGGACCATCGGGCTCTCCGTGGTCGATTTTATTTACATATTTTTACCACATTTCATGAGCTATAGCTCAAAGATTTCAGGTGTTTTCATGTGTTGGGAACGGTCGAGCACAGGATGTTCTGGATGCACGCCAAGATGTCCAACTAGTTCTTTGGGTTTTCGATGCCTACCGAGCGCTTGAAGACACATGGTAACTAATTCCTCTGCTTCACGAGAGGCTGATTCCATGGCTTTTGGTCATTCCAGCATGTCCAATCTATCTTTCTATGCACTTTGTGGCCTCAGATAGTTCTAGGACGTCGTTCTCTGTGGCTGGTTTTCATATTTTTCCCACATTTCGTGAGCTATAGTTCACGGAACTTTGACGTTTTTGGGGGTATAGGAACAATGTCATACGTTTTGGAGGCACAGTTCAAGCAACCAAGATGTCACTAGCTAATAGAACATTTTTCTTGCCAGCTATAGCTCTCAAATAACGATTTCAGGCTACTCGATTTGAGGCGATTCTAGGCAGCCATTTCCAAGGCTACTGGTTGTTTCGGTACGTTCTACAAGGTTATTTAGGCACCCAACCATGGGTAGTTTGGAATGTCTTGTGCTCCAGGGTTGATTTTCATGTTTTTGCCATGTTTTGTGAGCTATAACTCACAGATTTTGGGCATTCTCGAGGGTTACAGAATGGCTGGACGCCATATGGTGTGTAAGCACCATTTACACAACCAAGATGTCCAGGGGCTAACAGAACATACTTCAAGCTTGTTTCTCATAGATAATGAGTTTTTGGGTTTTCTACGGCTGTCGGCCTCTCAAAGACCAAGGGAAACTAATTTCTCATGTTCCTGAGAGGCTGATTTCATGGCTTCTGGTCCTTCCATCATGTCCAGTCTACCATTCCATACACTTTGTGGCCTCAGCCAGTTCTGGGCTGTCGGGCTCTCCGTGGTGGATTTACATATTTTCACCACATTTCGTGAGCTACAGTTCATATATTTCAATCATTTTTGGGAGTTTGACAATGGTCGAGTGCAAGAAGTTATGGACGCACTGTTCAGACAACCAAGATGTCCACTAGCTGACAAAACATTTTTTTGCCAGTTTTGACTCCCAAATAACGAGTTTTTTTGGGGTTTTCTTTTTGCCCACTGGCCACTTGAAGACCCGGGGTCACAATTTATTGGAAACCCCCACCTTGTAAAGGGAGAAGACAAAACTCGAATATAACCAACACTTGCTCAAATTCGAAGCACACAAAGTCAGAAGGGGCAGTATAGCGATCTATAACATGATTTGGTTCAGGTATATCATGAAAAACTAACCACTAGTGGACTAATAGCTTTAGGCTTTAGCAGAAATAAAGACAAGTTGTCAGAAATGATGTAATAAGGACTATTAGAGATATATTTTTGTTTCCTACAAGGACCTTGTGCCATTTCTCATCAGTACAACTTACAATCTTGGTAAATGAATATGTACATGGAATAAATAGAGCACAATAAAACAAGGGATATAACTATTTCTGAAAAGGAAATACCATGGGTCAGAATATATGTAATGACAGATATGATATATTCCTTTCGCTTTTCTTCTTGCTCTCGGAACAGGTCGAGCTTAGCTATCACTCTGGTCAGATGATTCCACCTCGACCTCCTCCTTTGGGACAGGAGATTCATTCTTTTTACCATTTTCATCTTTGAACATCACATTAATGGGCCGTCCCATCAATATCTGCAATAATGATCAGATCATAGGTCAAATATGGAAACAACTGGTATCAAGTAGAACTTTAACAGAAAACAGACTACATACTTGTACATGGCACACTCCATTAATATTTTACCTTTCCGTTGAAAGCAGATATGGCGGCCTCTGCGGTCTCTTTTGAAGAAAAAGAAACAAATGCATAACCAGCAGATTGCCTCGGAGTGGTGGTATGAAAGATAACTTCAGCTGATACAACACCTGGGGCAGAGGCAAATAATTCCCGAAGGTGACGATTTCTTACTCTCCATGTCAAATTTCCGACGAACACAATATACTTTTCCATGGGATCTGATACCACAACAGGTTGCTTTGGTTGCTTCTTTCTAGGTCTTGCAAAGTCCACCTTAATTTTTCTATCATTTAAAATCTACATCAAAATAGATGGGAAAGGGTCAGTTAAGCAGAGTGAGCTGAAACTGAAAGTAAGATAAACGTTTGGTTCACTTAAACTTACAGTTGAATTGAGATGGGTGAGAGCTGCAAGAGCATCCTCTTCTGAACCCATGGTTACAAACGCCAATCCTCTGTTTTTACTGGCACTGTACATTGAAAGCTAGGAAATCAAGGAAGAAAAATAATCACTAATGGAGTCACTATTTTCTTCTGTACATAATTTTGCAAAAAAAAAGGTAGAGAAATAGATAAACACCCATCATGAATTGGATCAATAAGTGATAATGCTAACCATGAAAAGTTACTATACTAAGCAAAGGTGATAAATATGTGGCATTGCGATCTATCTAACACAAGCATCCCCCTTTCTCCTCTGAACAAGAGGGTGTGAGTTTTAGCATGGGAACAAAGTGATTTCAGACATATTCAGAACATAATTCAGATTCCTTGATGTTGAGTTCAGTCTTCGATCAGCACCTATGCTTCCACACTACTGAGCCTAGATTCACAGGACCCAAATACAAACTCGGCCTGTTCGTTTGGCTGCAGCTTCTAAACTGATGAACAGCTGCAGTTTTTGAACTAGTACAGCCGCAGCCGCAGCCACTTTAAAATATATATAGCTAGAAAATAAAGGGAAGAGAACCTTGTTAGTAATTAAAATATATATAGCTAGAAAATAAAGGGAAGAGAACTTTGCTAGTAATTAAGCTCTCTACACACTACAATGGAGTTTGCAGCAACCTGACAAGAACTCTGAATGTTCCCAGATAGTAGCAGAATTCTGGTTTGCTGGGTAATACTCCCTCCAGTCGACTTGCTCTGCTCAAGTAGGTGAAATAGTTCGAAGCTGAAGGAAAACACATTATATGCCCGCACAAATCTCCTCTTTTTGTCTTCTTTCTTTCATTCATTCTTTCATTTTTTTTTCGAGCACCGAGACCATTTCAGTTTTTCATGAAGCCATGTCGTATGTCTACATGAGACTTTTTTTCTTTTTGGTGAATAAAGCAACATTAAACTATAGCAACACTAGCTCTTGGATGGCAGCCAATAATTTTGTTAGCATCCACTGTATAACAGGATTGCCGTTAGTCCGTTACTACTGTTATAGAGCTAACCTTTTTTTTATTGTTAATTTGAAGAAGGCATTGCAGACACAGAGCTAATCTTAAAGAAGCAAAACTTCGCAAACTATACATTCCGTTCACTCTTTTGACTCCGACTAGATAAGGCCATAAGGGAAGGAGGGGACTGAAGCAGACGTCTACCTGGACGCCGACGACGGAGCCGTGGTTCTCGAAGAGCGCGCGCATTTCGTCGGCCGTGGAGTCCCACGGGATGTTCTGCGCGACGAGGCGTGTCCTCGGGCCCACTTGCTCGACCGTCTCCGCCTCCGGCGCCTGGGGGGCCGGGGCCGCCGGCGCACTAGCCGCCGCGCAGGCAGCGAAGGCGGCGCGAGAACAGGCGGGGGCGGCGGAGGAGACGTGGCGCTTCGGGAAGCGCAGGTGGGGCCGTGGCTGGCACTGGCAGGCGGGGAACCCGTGTAGGACGAGGCGGGCGAGGGGGAGAGCCATGGTGGCGAGCTCGCGACGCAGCGGATGGCGAAGATATCCGTGACGCGGGCTCGCTGGGTTTTATCCGCCACGGCAAAATATCCCAGCTCCCAAGCGAAAACGTTCCAGTGTGGTTCACGGCCATCGTCCTCGCCAAGTGTCTGCCCGCGTTGCCGAACGTTTGAGTGACAGACTGACAATTGTTTTTGTGACACAAAAGACAAAACTGGAGACTGAATGGACCTTAGCTTGGTCTGCATAAGTGCATATTACAGGAGCAGAGCAGAGCAGAGTGACATACAGAGAAACAAAAAATGCGAACCAATAATTCACAGCTCTGCGAATTAGTATAATTTCACAGGCCAATATGTATTTATTTATGGATAATGACTTGATAGAGTACAAATAATTCTTCACACTTCATCTACGAGCACCCAGCACACAATCTCCATGCCTTACTATGATCATGGTGGGGTGCAAATGCAGTTCATACACAACACCATACATATGTACAAGCAGTTTTTCCAAAGTGAAGAGAAGAAAATAATAGTACACACACTATGTACAACGAGGAGCACTCCTAACAGGTTGTTGATCAATTCTTCGTGTTAACTCCATCGTCGGATGTTGTACTCTGATCGAGTTCCTTTTCAAGCTCCTCGATGACTGGCTCCACAGCAGCATCAATCTCATCACTGACCTTGTCGATCTGTACAAGCCAGGAGAAGGATAAACCTTTATTCCAGGTTAACTTTCACTTCACATGTTAACTCGAGATAGTAAAATATTTCATGCTCAGTTTATGTTACTAACTTGCTATCAAATGATGCAGAAACTATCATCATATGAAGTTTTGTTAATAAAATCCGACTAAATCACTTCTGAATGCCTTGCGAGTTGCAGACCTATGTTTTTCTCAGTTTCCTTTACAGAAATTGCCATCAACTTATGATGCCACCAGAAAGTGTCACTCATGCAGCACCAAGTAAGCAATCTTAAGTGTTGTAAAACATTTTCTGTGCACAGCACCACAAGAAATATTGCAAATGATTACTGATCTCAGTTCCTCACAAGAAACAACTAAACTAACCTCCTTCAAAGCAAGCCTTTTAAGGCAGGCAGTGACCAGTCTAAGTTACTAACCAGTCAGACATTGGCTGAGAGTGCTATATGCTTTCCAAAAGAAACTGCCACGACCAGTTCTCAATACACATTGTTACTTGGCATGCATTAAAATTTCCACTTTACAAGTGCAACAGAAGAAAGGTAGCAAATTTTGCTCTCCAGAAGAAATTAGTGACTAAATAGTAAATAATCATGTTTTGCTTCAGGAGTCTGAGTAGACAAAAATATGTGCACATACAGATATCGGCTAGCAGCTTGGCATACATCAGATTTTCAGAAAGCAAGCACAATATTTTCTTTCGCTCAATTCGTAATTTGCAGCGATACAATTTCTAAATTAGATTATCTGTCTTGTCCAATGGTAATATGGAAATAAGTATGGCATGACAATATCGAACAACAAGAATACAAGAGAACAAAAGCAAACCTTTTCAGCGACTGCTTCAAACTTCTCTGCATCATCATCCACTACCTCAGCAATGTGCTCAACCTCCTCTACTGCTTTCTGCAGAGACCCATCTTCAGGAAGTTGCTTAGCCACATTCGCAGCTAGCTTGTCTGTTACTTCAGCTATATGCTCCACAACCTCCACAGCATTCTCCACGAACCCCACTGTCTCGCCTGGCCATATAGAAATAAGAATCCCCAAACTTATAACCGAGCTTAATGATATGTAAATACTTAGTACCAATTGATGCGATGATTATATTCAAGTCATATTGTGAATTAGAATGTTATTTCTTCGCAGTTGACCATAGGACATTATAAATGAGCATGAGACAGGAAAAGAAAAACAGTATTAAGTTGATATTATATTCTTATTATGTAGTACCTTCGAGATGCCTAACTCTGTTGTAGAATGGCACGACCGTGTACACCACACCTCCGAGAACCCACCGTGCCCTGGGAGAACAAAAATAAAAGAATAGGATTTGGTTGCGGTTCACACGAAAAGAAACCAACAACCACACCCTTAGCTTGTTGCCCAACTCGTATCATACCAGCTAGGAATAGTGGAAGAGCCTAGACGCTGACCGCCACTGACGGCGGCGGCTGCCAAATCCGCGGAAACAATATCCGAGTTCTTGAGGATAACCCAGCTGCCCAGAACAACAACCACATGAACAAATCATGCGCTAGCTAGCTGTTTTATCTAGGAACGCGAGGTAATAAAAGGTACGGCGGTTAAAGTAAACGGACATGGAAGGCCGGAGGAAGCAATTACCCCGAGTCGATGTCACTCAAATCGGTACCATCCGCGGTAGGAGGATTCTCCCCCTTCCTGCATAGAGACCAGGAACACCAGAAATCACAAAACGAAGCACTCGAACAAAACCCAGCTTGGGTGCCAATCTAGCAAAGGGAAACAGCAAGGGAAGCAAGAAGAGCACTCGCCTCTGGTCTTCCTGCGCAGCAGGGGCGGGGGTGGGACCGATCGGCTGCATGGTGAGAGTCGCCATGGATGGAGCCGAGTGATGGGGATTCGATTTTGGGGGAAGCGAAGCCGATCAGGAAAATTTGGGAATGCGATAGATAGACTGGTGGTGGAATGGAATGGCACGGCAGGGGATTCAGATCGGAGAGGAGGAGGTTTGTGTGGCCCGTACGCGAAGGTGTCGTGCTTAACCACCCAACGATCTGAACCGCTTAAAGTTGATCGGACGGCTCCCAGTAGCTGCGACGTCGCGATTATCATCCGCGTTGGGTTAACTGATCGAAGGTGGGCAAAACAGACAGACGGCAAGAGTATGACGACAACGTAACAACACACGATTGCTTTCTCCTTCCGTCTCAATCCTCACCGGCGCACAACCGCCGACGCGACGGCGAGGCCGTGCTTCCCTGCCGGCGTCGCGGCGACCACCGAGCTAGCGAGGGCTGCGAGTTGGTTTGAACTTTGAACGCCGCCGGCCAATGCAAGAGATTTGATATCGATCCAAGTCTGACCGCGTCAACATCGGTGCATAGAGCAGCACAAGAACAGCAACCGTTGTTACTCGGCGGCCTCAGCGTCAGGCGAACACAGCGGAGCGGGCTCGGTTGCGTGGTGAAGATGTTGGAGACGGCGATGGCGCGCAGCTCGGAATCCCCGCGGCAGCGGTGTTGGCCACGAGGAACTGGGCCTTGTGGACGGAGTTGCACAGCGGGAAGCTGCGGGACTCGAGGTCGACGCCGACGAATACGCGGTCGCAAGCGCCCAGCAGCTCGGCGCGGTTGATGGCGACGAGCCTCTCCTGCTTGACGCGCGCGACAAGGAACCCGGAGCGCTCGGCCTCCTGCTGCGCGACCTGCTTCTTCTCGACGGACTGCGCGAACTCCAGCCCGAAGGAGCCGACGTAGCCGCCAAACAGGATGGCGCGGAGCGTCTCTTCCTCCGCCGCCGTGGCCCGAGACGACGACGAGGGTGGCTTCTCGAGCTCCTGGGTCTGGCGCTTGAACTCCATTGGAGAAATCTCCACGGGCACAGAAGCTGCGGCGGTAGAAACGATGAGTGTGGGCGTGAGGCAGGCGGGCGCGTCGGGGTCGGGGGAAGTGACGGCACCCTCGCCGCGGATCTGGTCTGTGGACGCGAGCCCCGCGTAGCCGACGTTGGCGTCGATGGCGGAGAGGGCGAGGGAGGTGTAGGCGCCGTCGGCAGCTTCAGTGGCGGCCGGTTCGTCGGTGAGCCAGTCGCTGGCGCAGACGCCCCCTTCCAGCATGTGGGCGAGCTGCTCGAAGTGTCCACCCCAGTTGTCCGGAACCACCACGGCATCCTGCTGCTCCTTCACCGGCGGAGGCGAGGCAGTGTCGGTGGCGGCTGGCTCGTAGACGCACTCCTCCAGGACGGGGACAGGCTCGAACAATCCGCCCCAGTTGTCGGCCATGACATGCTGCGTCGCGCCGAACTGCTCAAGGCCGCCGATGCGGAGCTTCCCGGCGGTGCCCCGCTGCTCCAGCGCGGCCTGGGTCCGCGAGAAGCGCCGCTCCATCCGAGCATCGAATTCGTCGAACCTTCTGCGGATCTAGTAGAAGGCAAGCTGGATTTCATCGAGGAGGAGCCAGGAAGAATGGAGAGATCATGGAAGGAGAATTCAGGGCGACAGTGTTCCGAGAATCGAAGGCTCTGATACAAATTGTTAGCAACCCGACTAGATTGATCACATATAATTGGATTCAAGTAAATAGGATACAAGATCTCAGAAGAAGAGAGATCGGAGCAGTGAAGAAAGGAAGAATTAGTACAGAAAGGTAAATTTGGGAAGGAAGAAGAACAGTAGAAGGAAGAAGAATAGTAAACTAAGGAAAAAGAAAAAATATTCTGTTACGATAAACTCTTTGATGCCTTGAGCTGCTGCAGCTTGTTTCCTTTGTAGTGTTTGTTCCGTGCCGTCTTAGGCCTATATGGGCTTGTCCCCTGCCGCCTTGGGCCTATATGGGCTTGTCCCCTGCTGCCATAGGCCTGTATGGGTTGTACACGCTAGTCCACTAGACGATCCCTGACATCGTGCTGAGTTGCCAGGAGGTGAGTTTCATGCTGATCGAGGAGGGCACCGTTCTTCCTGATTCTTAAGCCTGTCATGCATATTCGATCTTGCGCTTATAATGCATCTGGAAGAATTTTTTGAATGCATCGTGATACCTAGTTTGTCATTTTCGTCTATGTTTAATTTGCAAAAGTGAATTTCGAAAACTGGTGTAGGAAGTGGATTGACATTTGGAACAGGCCTACAGGGAAAAAAATATGTGCCAGCACATAAACTGTGAATGAACTCGGCATCCATACACATACACTGGCACCGTGGAGTGGATGTACATGCAACCTGATTTTTCTTAACTCTGCCTTTACTCTTTGGTCTGTGTTCTCTGATTTCGTAAGACATTGTGTGCATCTCCCTCTTTTCGGTTATGGATTGCACCAGCCAATACCCGTGCGTTGCTACAGGTGATAAAACTATTTTAATCTAATTTGTTGCTCCCAAAACATCATCGGTACAAGTGAAAATGAAATTTTAACCAAACGAGATTGTGACAGAACCGTCCAATTTATAAGAACATAAGTACAATGACAGCCCGCAAGCGGTTGCACTATCATACTTGAGCCCATATAAATTCGGTAGTCCATCGAGTACCACGAAGGGTCTAGATTCATCGTCAACATACAATCAAGATCGTACATGATTCAACATATATGCCACATATTACATAGAGTTCACAAATACATTACCATCCATCGGAGTACAATTAAAAGTTATTACAACCCAAGTTCAAATAAAGTAGTAGTAGCGGAAGCAAAGGTACTTTTGAAACTAACATCTCATACCATTGTTCAAATACTTGCCAGTTTATGATCACATCCCACAAAAGCATCATAGATTAGATATATAGAAGCGCATTGCCCATGGCCTACTTCTCGTCCACGGCGGGACAGAAGCAGTTCTTACAATATCCATGATATACTGTGTTATCTACAACAAGTGAGAAATAAACCCTGACTACGAGAAGGTACTCAACTAGACTTACCCACCATAAACAAAAATAAAGTGACTCCAAGAATCATGCAAGGCTTTATAAGTGGAGCTAGCTTGACAACATTTTGCATAAAAAGCCACTAATTCAGCTATACATTTTTATAATTCGGTCATCAAGTTAATTATAGCTATTTATCTCTAGATTAGCAACTAACCTGTGCCAAACATGTGGTATATCATTTAGTAGCATAACAATAGTAACCATAGCCGGTGTAATAATTCCATGTTCAGCATAACCATCATATTCCATAATCCAGTTACTACGATGTTGGAGCTAGTCAAGTTTCTCACTATCCGGAAGAGACGGTGATTCGAATCAGTTGCAACCAGCTGGACAGTATTCCTAACATAAACCCAGGTCTACCAGCCACGGTAGCCTTAGGTCACATTTGGTACAACTCAAGTCCATATTTGGCGTGTTCGATCAGCGCCGCACAATCAGGGACAACCAGCTGCCAGGACGTTCAGGCCTAGCCTGCCCTTAGGCTCATGTCTGGCTCCCCGCACATCCTTACTACCTCCAGTGTGCGCACTCTTACAGAACGAGGCCCAGTCTGAGTTGAGCTACTCGGCTTCACGGTCGAAACGAGTTATTCGGCCAGCTAAGTGAGAGGCATACGTTCAATCTCGATAGAAGTGCCAACAACGATACGGTTCTTAATCGACACGGATGAAACCAACATAGCCAACCCAACACCATTGCATATAAGTTCTCGCCCGGTCTCCACTTAATAACACCCATGGTTATTTTCCATGATAGCAATATATAGCCAACCGTGCTCCGGTATCCGCCTATATCTCGTAGGTGATAGGAAATCACCCGACTTTTACCAGTCTAAGTATAGCTAAGCATATGTTCGATCCTAGACCTACATAGGGTTCAAGGTATATTTCTGGACAAGGTAGTTCTATGCATCAAGTGTTTTCAATCAACTCTTATAACCTAATGCATCAAATATAAAGGACTCAAGTGATATTTTATAAAACATAAGATGCTTAAAATGCTTTGGGGCTTGTCTTTTAAGAAAGAAGTAGGCCGGTAATCAGGGCACTCTGGTAGTTCCTCTAGAGCCCGCTCCTCGCCTTTGGGAGCTGCGGGCTAGGGTGTCTCCTGATTCTCCTCCTCTGCTTCGAACTCCAAGAGGGTGATTCATTCGGACGATCCTATATGCATGAGCACGAATAAGATATCATGGATGCATAGGTAATGACATGGATTATATGATATGATGAAATGCATAATCATACGTGTCCTTAACAACAAGGTATTAGGGTGATAACAAGATTAACTTTCTTTTACTGAGTAGGTGCAATCTCCTCTCTAGTAACTAAAGGCCTATTCGGTTAGTATTAAAGTCGGCTGATAAGTCCGTTGAAGCTGATTTGTTGTGAGAGAAAAATACTGTAGATTTAAGCTGATAAGCCGGCTGATAAGTTCAAGCGAACAGGCCCTAAACAACATCCATTTAAAGCATTTTCTGGACTGAAAGACAACAACTACTTGTTTTGACCATAATTGGAGTTTTATACACCCAAATAACATGATCTTGGACTTTATAGAAAGCTTATAAAATTGCCTACAATTTTCTTGTATCATCTTAAGGTGATTCGATAGTTAACTAGGTCAAACAATTACACCTTTCAGATCTATCCAGAGGATAAGCAAATCTGACAGCAAACTTCTAACAGATATGACTCTTAAATCATTACGACTATGACTATAAAATTTTAGGACAATCTATATGAGCAAGTTATCTACAACTTTGTTATTAACAAATTTCACAGAAGAGGTCATTATCCTTATGAAATTGTCACTTTAACAGAAACTACTCATACAACCTTCTAGTTGAATTATAAAGAATAATTATCTAGCTGCCTATTACTAATTACTTCTAAGCACAACTATTCATCTTAATAAATCATATGCATCACAAGTACTATAGAAAACATCACGGTTAAGCCCAACTAATTTATTTATATACATTTATTAATTTCCTTATATAATAGGATGATTTAAAGGATAAATATTTCCAATATTCAATAAATTTTGAGAAAATTATAGTAGCTTACATATGACCCTAATAGTCTACTATACAAATTTCAAGCCATTTGGATAAGTATATCAACCTCTACAAAAATGACAAGTTGCATAGGCTTATAATAGCATAAATGGTTTAGCCTAGTAAAAAATGTCAAACAACAGATTTTATATTTTTCTTACTTTCACCATAGCACAAGAACACTGTGTAAATAATTTCATGCTCATAGGTTACATATATTTACCCCAATTAATTTTACTAGAAACTAGCATTTAATCAAATTTAAATAGCAGGATCATATTCCAAGCATGCTTACTATTAGCCCTGGGCAAATTTTACCGAGAACCGAACCAAAAAAACCAAGAACCGAACCAAATTTATTGAGAACCAAAGTCTCAGTTCTCTGTTCGGTTCTCATTTCCGAGGAACCGAAATTTGTTCGGTAAAATCGGTTCCCCCTCGGTTAACCGAACTAACCAAGGAATCGAAAATAGTGTAGTAGTGTACTGTCTTAGTGTCTTGCACTCTTGCTGAATGCTAATGCCTTACTTTAGAAGTTAGCACTCTATTTATGTATTTGTTACTCTGTTTGACTGTTATATTTGTCACTGTGGTTTTGTATGCAATCCTGCGGAAATGCTATCAAAATTTGCTATTGAACATGTTGTTACATGGATTTTAGGTACTGTTTGGTTTTTTTGGTTCTACCCGGAACTGAACCAAAAGAACCGATACTGAACTTGGTCGGTTCCATGTTTTTTGAAGAACCGATCGATACTGGTTTTCTAAGAACCGAACTTCTTCAAAAATCGAAGAATTGATCGATTCGGTTTGGTAGAACCGAATGCCTAGGGCTACTTACTATAGGTTTAGTATTTTTCCTAGATAAAGCATGTCAACACAAGACCAACAAAATTGGAATCACAATTTTAACACCTCTCTAGCTTAAGTTATGCATTTTACAAGATAAAAGCTATTTTAAAAGCACTTAACCAACTTAATTTAATTCACATAGAAAACTACTCCAAACAGCATGTTTCATATTTTTATCAGATAGTACATTTCAAGATGAAGCTAACAAAATTTGGTTCACTCCATTTGGATACTCCTAGCTCAAGATATGATTTTTGCAAGATTGCTTTCAAATCTAAAAAACAAATAAAACTAAAACACCAAAACCCTATTAAACGCTACGTGCACCCGGTCCAGTGCACCATAGAGGCGCCGATAGCTAGGCTCTACGGTCAATGGACCCCATGCGTTAGTGACACAGGAGCAGGGCACGATGTTTGACCGTCCATATCTCGCTGACGGCGAGGTCACCAACATTGTGCTCCCTACACTCTTGCGCATCGACTGATACCCTTGGTTAGCCTGGCGGATCACCGGAGCTACCTCGCCGGCGACAATGGTGGCACGGCG